TGCTAAAAGCATCTGCTGATCCTTAACTATATAAAAACAGAAACTAAACTCCAAAACAATACTTTAATGTATATTGCATGTTATTAAATGCAAAAATATTAAAAAGTGCATTAAATTGTTTCATCAGCAACCTATGGACATTCATTGACTTTGACAGGACAATGCACAATTCTCTGTTACACTCTTTTCAAGTACCCAGACCAATCTTTTAAACACCTGTTCAATAGCTTTCTACCCCACCATGCTCAAACAACAAATAACACCAAATTTCAAAATTATAATTGTGGAGGAAAGAGGGAAAGGCATGTTCAAAAGTGTAATGAAAAACCTAGCTTAAAAAAAAAAAAACCAACCAAACAACAAAAAACAACATAGAAAGCTCATTACTTCACCATTTTTGTTTTTAAAAACTCTCCAAAGTTTCTGATTGTTTACAAATAGAACATCAAAAGCCCCATCATGGATCTAGACCCTACTTCATGGGATGTATTACAATATGAGACATGCATTAATGATGCAGATTTTCATTCACTGCAAAGAGGCATAAAGATGGAAAAGAAGATGGAAGATGCACCAGGATGGAAGGGATCAGTTTTCCCAGTACCCACCATGTGGAAGTGCCAGGAACACTCCTGTTCTACCAACCACAAAACAACAGAGCCAGAAGGTCCTGGGAACTTAACTCTTGCCCCTGAGAGCAACTGAGCCCGCTCCAGGTGGAGCAGGTCCGGATAGGCAGGTGAAGCCAGCCAAAAGCCAGGGACCACAGCAAGGAGCTGGGACTCCACAGTTCAAGAATAGGGACATGGAACTGCCAGGAGCAGCAGGCAATAGAAACCTTGTCCTTGGAAGAAGGAAAGCATATTCTGGAGAACAGCACGCAAGACAGTGATGGCAGCTGAGCACAGAGAGAGAGCACCAGAATGCCGAAGTAGGCTGTCCAGAGAAACAATGGAGTTGACCTCACTGAAAATACTCAGGACTCAACTTGACAGAGCCCTGAATGACATGATCTAAGGCTCTATTTCAAGAGAAGATTGGCCCAGGTGAGTTCCCATCCAACCTGGATGTTTCTATGATGCTGTCACTTTGCCCATTGTTTCAAAGATGGGACCAGAGACTTCCAGGATCTGCAGTCCCAGTTCAGCAATGTTCTCAAGTGCCTCTGCATCTTCAGCCACGTTCTTCCTTCCCAAGTAATATTGGCAGATTTCAAATTAAACATAAGCTTTAGAGTTTTTCTAGTCTGGGAGTCAAACAGATAGTTCTTGGCTGTGTTCAAACAGAATCTGGATTCTTCTGAGCCTTCATCCAAGAGCACAACTTCTATTCCTCTATGTCAGCTTCAGTTAATACTTCCAAAGCAACTGCAGACTCTTAAAAGATTATCACTAAATAGCGAACAGCAACTAGCACTTGTTTGACAATTTTTGACCTGTCGTTGTCAGCACACAAAGAATTTTATTTTTCTTCAAATTACATGATTTTGCATGAAAACTTGCAGTTAAGTTCCCCGTGAAATAAATAATATACAAATACTGTGTTGATGAACCAGAGCAACCATTTGTAATGACATTCCATGTAAAATTCTGGATTGGGTGATTGTGTTATAGTAACATAGAGGAAAGGCAGAGGTAACTTTAAAAAGGAGTGATATGAGCGATACGTAAGATACAGAAATGGACTTAATTAAACAGAACACATGTAAGAGTATTTCATTCAATTGCTTATGGGATTTTTTTTTTGTTTTTTTTCTTAAGAGACTATATCACAAGCTGCCACCTCCCCACTCCTGCCCAGGGCATCAGGCTCCCTGTTTCTCTGCTGTATGGCAATGAATTTGCTCGTTGCAACATTCTATGTGCTCTGTCAGCACGGCTTTTTGCCTCTGGGTTTACCTGAAATAGCACCATACTATGAAGTAAAAGTACATATTTGGAAAACTTTACTCTTCTTCCTAGTTGGAGCTTTTAGAGACAGATGGATATGGAGAGAATAAAGCAAAGAGGGCTTTATCAGGAATTTGGAACAGCAAGAATATCTGGGAATTGGGATAAGAGTAAATATGAACTGAAAAGCAAGTATCACTAGATCGGGTGCTCCAAGAGAAAGCAGAAGAACTTGGGAGACAGAAGCACACCCTTGATGGGTCAAGCCTTCTAATCAAGCCTCACTTTCTCAAACACTAGCTGGACCCTCACCAATTCTTAGGCACATACCCAGTGGCACAAGAAGTTATGCCCACCCCCATTTATTCATTCATTTCAAATACTTTAATAGCTGTCCAGTGAAGACCAATCTTTCGGGAATCATGCTTTGCAGAAGGATTACAGCTTCACCATTTTTGCAGCATAACTCTTTGCAATACTTATTTTATTTTAGTAATCCTTCCACAAAATTACCTTCCAGAAATAATACCTTAAAACTAGGTATTCAGAAGCTATTTTAAAGACCTGAATGAAATTCCACTGGCAAAAAGTTAAAAGAACAAAAAAATTTTCTGCTGTTATTTGAGTCTCCAAGACAAATAATCAGAAGCAAATTATATAAAAGCTTTCTTATAAATGTATTCCATATTTCATTATGAAGTCAACCTTCCTATTCCTAAAGTGTATTATAATCTACAGTTCACTTTTAAGATTTAAATGTTACATCTATATAAAAAATGCAGCATGACTAGCAATAGCACTATATTTGCATGTTAAAGACTAATTTTACTGTGTAAAAACCAGAAACATACTTTCAGTTACACAGTAGTAAACCCAGTATAAATTATATTGAGAAGTTAATCCAAAGAACCTTTAGTAAGCTGTTCACCACAGGACTGTAAATTTAGTTTCCATTCCACTCTTTGCTCCCTCTCTCATTCCTTGTCAAAGGCCAAGAACTCAAACCACACAGAATTAAACCAAATTTAATTTTAGATGCTGACAGTTTAAAGTCAACAGAACAGTGTACAAAATTCTACAGCGACTCCTTCCATATACAGTAGGAAGATTGACAGTATTTCACAATTATGAAAATCTTCAGGATTGTCATTAAAAAAAAATTCCAGAAAATTTATTGTTAATTGTTGAAGCAGAAGTTAATTTTAAACATTTATCTGAAAAACACATAGGTCATTTTACAGTCTTATGTTTAAATGATTCAATAAATGTCTTGTATAGCTCTCAACTTCACAGTACTTGGTTTTATAAAAAAATAAGAAACTTGTTCTGTTAAATAAAATGTATTGAAGAGGCTTCCAGTATCAATCAAGTCTTATTTTAATTCTGCGGAAGCTGACAGCTTCAATATTCAAATTAACAACAGGAGAAACTGGTTCTATGAAATTCTCATCTTTTTAAGTTATTCCTGAGGCTTTTCTGAGCTAAGTTTCTAAAAGTATTCTGTTTTACAGAACATAATCTAGATTTCCTTAGAGATCTGGGCAAACTCTAACCAAACATAATAACGTTAGATCATACTGAAAACAACATTTGGTATTTATGCCTGAATTTTCACCTGTCTTCTCTACAAGCCTGTCCTCAGGACCTAGGGCAGATCTTCATGGGAATAAACCAATGACAGATTCACCAGCATCAGCCTAAATAATCACAATGGCTATTTTAAAAAATCTGCTCCTAGTCTTTTCAGTTTGTCATTTTTAAATAGTCATAAGTCTATGCATTTGGTATTAGCTGATTTAGGCCAAGTAAAACCTAGTGATCAGACACAGGGATAAACAAAGTGCATTCTGACCCTCATAGCTATGCTATGGCTAACTCCATCCCCGCCAGACCCAACAGACATGCAAAGCCATGTTCGCCAGGAACAAAAATATGCAACGACGACTTCAAAGCATCAAGAAAAAAAGGAACAACAGTTTTACAGTACAGGAAATGGGTTCACAGGCAACAGAACAAAGGCCACTAGAATTAAGATGGAAAACGAAGACCTAGAATAAGCTTATCTCGAACAAGACCAGAGACTTATTTTCTTGAAGATGTTATTATGAGATAATCATGAGAGTGAAAAGTGATCTATATTTTCCTTCCACCCATCCAAGCCACACACTGAAAACACTGTAAATCAGAGCGAGTTTGAAGAAAGTAAGCTCTTTCTCCCACCCAAATTATAAACTTTAAATGCAATTTCCAGAGTTGGACAGAGTCGCATTTACATCAGAAAGATCAAGTCAGAAAAATCTCCAAACTCTCCATTTAAAGTAACAAAACTATGGAAACAAACCACTTTGGTTGTTTATGATAACGGTATTAAAGATGAATACGTGAATAAACGTCCATTGAACCTCCTCAAAAAGTCTCCTTTATTCCTCAAACGAGTAATAGAAATCTTGGTTTGTATTAAATCAATCCCCATGTACTCAACACAAGAGAGAAAAGAATACAAATTCTGAACACAATATCCCTCTCACATCCAGACATAAACCACTGTATTCAAAGCAAAACTTAATCTTCAGAGAATGACAAAGGCACTGAGAATCAAAGCTGATTTAATAAAATCCAAACACAATAACCCAATAAAGAAAATGTCCCAAAAAAACCCACAACAAAAAACCCCAACCCAACAGTCAGCTTCTAGTGTTCAATCCCAAACTGTGTATTTTTGAAGTTAAGGAAATTACAGTGTAAAAGTCATTTTTGATAATTTGATCTCATGTAAAGCCTTACTTTTAAATTATATTTGAAATCATCTGCATTATATTTGATTTTGAAACACTTATTCAAAGCAGGAGTCATTTTCTTGGCTTGCAAAAGAGCAGGTGTTGCATCTAAGTTACAGAAAACTACCACTAATTCCCTCGTGCGGATAAATGTCACGCTTCTTCAGTAATGCAGAGCATTAAATAGCTGGAGATGTTATCATCACATCATCTCAAGAAATCAGATTACATTCATATTGCACTCCAAGGAGGAAAAAAATAAATCAACATATTTCTAGCAGTTCAAACCATTCCACAGGTACTGTATCAGTGACAAAATGCCAAGAGGACTCACCTGTTCAATCTCCTTCGTCTTAGTTGCAATTGCTTTTGAGCGGCCAAGAAGTGGACCATCCTCATATAATTCCGTACTATCCGTTATATTTGTTTCTGCTTCCTCTGTTTGTTCGATGTATAACGGAGCCGAAGATCCGGCCTTAAAAAAAAAGATTAAAAAAAAAAAAAAAAAAGTCAGAGTTTTGAGAACAAAATAAAAACCTCACAGTGTGAAAGCAAAAATAAAAATCCAAATACAGTCATTCAATTAGATATGTCTTTGCTCATCAAGACTATTAGTGAAGTATTATTGTTACAATCTAACAGATATAGAAATATGGATTTTAAACATGTAGAAAATGTGACATCATAAAAAAAATCTATGACTCAGCCTTAACTGTGTAAAGAGGAGGATGTCAGATAACCTTTACCTACCCTTCTGCTGAGAAGGAACTATGTGATATTTATAACCCCAGCTAGCAAGAAATCCACGATGAAAGTGGGATTAGCTTTCTGGGGAAGGATAAAAGTAACAAAATCAAAGGTAAATAGGCAATGACAAAATCAAAATGCCGTCACAAAGAACTCCTAGAACATTCAGGGGCAGAGGTGAAATATTAAAGGAACAGAGATACGTACTGTATAACAAAAGCAAACATCTGCTTAGATGATTCCTGATAATATGAGAAATCTTACTGAAGTACCGAAATTGTGTAAACTTGTCTCTAAATCAGAGATTAAGACAGTACCCCTGCCCCAAAGACTCCCACTCCAAGGAGTCTATATAGACAATGCAAAAAGAGAAGAAATTACTAATTGCATATTTAAATGCAATATTAAGGAAGAGATTTGAGGTTTAGTAATTTTTTTTTAAATAAGGTTTAAGAATTGAAGAAGATGCATAAAAACATTTTCTACTATTCAAAAATAAAAAGGTGGAGAATCTTAAAATTTAACTACTGTGAAAGAGAAAAACATTAGACAAAAAAAGAATGCTGAAGTGCTCCTATGAGCACTAGAGCAATAGAAACCATTAAGATTGCATCCCAATTTTAGAGTAAATCATGAAATGCCCAAGACAGAGCAAAGGCTGCTGAAAAGTTCAGTGCAACACAAACTTGAGCTATTAAGCACTGTGCAAGATAAACTGGAAAAAGTCAAAAACTGTTGCAATTCATACATGCCAGGCTAATCAGGGTGAGAAGCATCCTTTCTTCGAGGACTCTGATTTAGATGCCTCACCTCCTTCATTAGCATTCCTGTGGCACACTCTCTCAGTCAATACATCATCTCAGACCCTGCCATAATCACCTGCAATTTTTTAATTTTGAATCCTTCTTTATTTTGAGTCATTTTGCCATTGTAATTTTCTCTGAAGCAGAGAGGAAGCTTTAAGCAACTCTTCTCCATATGGCCAACTCTGTTCTTTCATCCCTCGCATTACCTTCCTCTCACCAAGAACAGGAGTGACATTTCTCATCACTCTTACTCTCCTGAACTTCTCAGAAATGTCCACGCATATGTTCTCCTCCGTATGGCACTCATGCTTGGATCAGTTTGCTGCTTCTTTCTGCTCAATCCAAGCCCTCCACCACCACCACCCTCCTTATTTTTTAATAATTTCTTTTTCCTGGAAGGAAATGAACAGGAAATCTATCTACTGCAGTACCAAGGCAAAAACTTAATTTTTAATACAGAGGAAGACTGCTTTCTGAAAAGGACTACATGACATGACAGGCTGCCATGGCATGAAACTGCACTCAATAAACCAGAGTTTCTTTTCTAGTCTTATGTTTTACATGCATGCTTGAATTTTGACTCAGAAGTCCCTTGCTAATTTTAAGGAGTTGAGTAGGAGTACAGACTTACATTAGTGCAAGAGTTCCTTGGAGAGCCAGAACCTAATTTGGTCAGTTGAAACTCAACACAAATTCAAATTATACTAACTAAACCTACTCCGGTTTTCTGTATTTTAATAAATAAATAAATAAATCACAAGGCTTTAGCCTCCCTCTCACTCCCTTTCAACAAACATTTAATAACACAGGCAGACAAATTCAGGGGTAAATTACAAAATGAGCCTTACAGAAGAGTACAGAAAAACAAGTCTATTGTTGTAACACTTTAAAATAAACTGATTAATACTGTCTTACATCATACTCTGTTATTTCAGGTAAATTGCTTTCATCAGCCTTCTCTAACTTTTCAGCTGCCCACTTGCTTGCAGCTTCTGCAAGTTCCTTTTCTGATAGTCTGTTGCTCTTATCCAAGGCCTGCATAAAAACATTGGAGTCAAAGTTTAACATGAAATGTATTTACGCACAGCAAAACATCTTCAAAACTAAAATAAACAGTTATCCAGATTCCTGAAACATTTTAAAATAGGGAATAGGGAAGCTGAGGCTAGTTCATTTGATGACTGATTTCTTTAAAAAGAAGAGTGGGTGGGGAGAGAGCAGAGGGGAAAAAAAAAGAGCAGAAAAAGAGATAAATCAATGAAGTTCAGTCAAATATTTAAAAAAGCACCGTACTTTCAGAATTAGTTTTATTAAATTCACAGGACAGAAATAACAGAAAAATTATTTGAGACCACTTGAGTTTAAAGAGACTTGAATCAAACAGGCACTATGAAGTCAGATACAAGTGTGGAGTGATCCAATAATTCAATGTGATTTTCAGGCATAAAAGGTTGTAACAAATTGTAAGTAAAATATTAAGTACTCTGTAGGGTATAAAACCTAAGTTAATTAGGGACAGAGCTGCTTCCATTAAAATTAGTTATTTTTTATTTGGAGGGAACGTTGACTATTTATAACAGAGTCAGTCACGGCTTTATGGGCTTTTAATCTTCCTTTTCAGAAGGAAATACTCATATAACTAATATTTTTAAATTGATTTCTCTCTAAGAATATGATTTGGCTTTTACTAGCAAAGCAACAAACCGGCAATGACAAACACCCACACACCAGTTTAGGAATAGCTAGCTTTATAAATCTCATTACCACAATGTGGGTATTTCATTTGAATCAACTTTATGTATGGAAGCATCCATCCAAGAATCTATACTATTCTACTATTAAATACTGCAACACTAAGATGGATACATAAAAAATATACAAAAGTCCTACTTCCTGAAACAGGTTGTCACAATTTCTACCCAATGCTTGTTCCATTTTAGCATATAGATGGACAAAAAAAAAGCAAATAAAAAAACAAATTAAAAAAACCAACACTCCCTACCTTATCATTAGTTGATTTCAAATTACATAAATGGCCAGAGGAAGCAAATACTGTGAACTGTAATAAAACTGCTTCATCTTCAGACCTTTTGTACTTACCTCAAGTAAAATATTATCCAAACATCTCTTTGTGGTGTAGTATGGCATAAATATACAGTTCACAGAACCCTTCCAGGATTCTGCGTCATAAAGACACCACTTTTATCTCAATCCAGAAGTGCAACACAATGTTCAAATAGGAATCTATCTTTTCTATAACTGTAAATTACAGAATTATAATCAGCAATGTCAGGAGGTGACAAAGTTCAATATGCAGCTGTATGAAGAGGATTGTTAAAAGAAACTCTTAGTGTAATTCATAGAATAATTAGCCCAGTCCACCTTTCCAAAATACATGATTATTCTCAGACTGGTCTCACTACAAACTATTGTCTGCCAAGTTTTTTTCCCCCATGATTTTATTCCCCATCGTATGCCTGACTTTTACCTTTAACCTGACTTTGCCCTATCTGCCAAAAAAATCTTCTATTGTGGTTCTATTATTAATCTCTCCTGTTCCTCAAATGTAGCTCTGACCAATATTAGCAAAAAGAAATTACCAGTTTCTTTGCCAACGACAGTTGACTTTGTATGAAATTAAGATAAAATCTCACATGACTTATATTTTCCAGAAGCTATAAAAAAAACCTAACCACTCCAGTATCTACTGGATTACAGCAAAAAGAATCTTACTTAATTTAATTCCATAGGTACCATGTCAATAAATATGTATTAAAAAATCCTGAGTGTATTTTATGTAAAGTAACGGTACTTCCACAGGTACACTACAACTGAATAGAAAGAACAGAAACATATTCCTTAGAGGAAAATGTCTGCAGTTTCTTAAACTGCAAAATTGCAAGAAATTAACAACCTAGTGTATTTCATAAAAAAGAACCAAGCTTTCCTCCCTGCCTCAAAACAGAGGTGTGTTTTTTTATCTCATGCTTGACATTAAGAACAGCAAAAATCTGTTAGTTTTCTGTTTTCTTTGCTGGGAAGCTTTCCCTGTCTCACACATCTGCCTTTTGCTCTAATTACGTTGGATACAACCTCCAAGGCTTGCAGTTCAGACAGCTATTAAAGAAAAACACAAAAGACTTCATGCCATAGTCAATTAAACAGGTGGTTAAGATCAGATAAGACCAACATGTATTAATTCACATGCATGAATATGTAACAAAATAATTATAAGACAGATAAGAATACCTTTCCAGATTTGCATATAGTTACTACAGTGAAAAGAGATATTGCTGCAGAAGCATGTACCTTTGTAAGTATTTCAAAGCTAAATTATAACTTCGAGCATTAAAAATTATCTCCTTTAATCTATAAAATAAAGTATATTAACTCCTTTCTCAGGTCTAAGTAGATTGTTAAGACCCTGGCCATGGAGATGTTCATCATGGTTTGCCAAGACTTTTTCTGTCAATATTTCTATGTCAATGAAGCACTTGTATCACTTAACTGGTCAGTGTAATCCAGCCATCACTCTGAGAAGCTCCACTGACACAAGACAGTACATTACAAGCATGAGACTTCAAGAGAAAAAGCAATAAAAGGTCACTGAAGTACTTCCATTTCTGCAGCTGACGCATACCCAATAAATATATGTATTGTCTGGGGAAATGATTTCCATCAAAGAGAAAGTTTCATTTTGTGTAGCTTACATCAAGTGGATATCCCACTGCCAGCAGATATATGCAAACTGCTGGCAATAAAACCAATACAGCATAGATCAAACCTGACTAAAGAAGAAAGCAAAACATTTAAAGAATACTTTATATTTCAAGCTCACGCTGCATATTAATACGAGAGCAAGAGATTTTGCAATGCCTCCTTGTTCTCAAAGATTTGTATTAAGCAAGGATTTGATATTAAACTGTAGTATGCTGAGCCTGTAAGCAAAATAGGTGAACTAACGATAAAGTTTATTTTATAATCCAAATCAGTGTAACTTGTGCATAACAGCTTTTATCTTACTTTCCTCATTTACATAGCTGAAAATATATCACTTGCCTCCCACCCTTAAGGACATTGGCAATTGGCTAATGCCTAGCACAGCAGTTCTAGAAGAGCTGCATAAGGGATAAGTACTTAGAATGACATAGCATAACCAAAGCCTGATTTTTTTTTCCCCATCTAATTATTTCCTTCAGTCTCACCTTCTCACAACAAAAAGTACCTTTCTTTCTTCCATTTGCTTTTTTTTTTTATTTTTTGTTTAAACATTCCACTGCTTTTATTAAAAAGACCTCAAGAACCAGGCTAGTACACCATGCTACTTAGGGCAAACACTACTTTTTAATAGGACCTTATTCACTTAGAACAATATAATGCATTGTTTCTTTATTTCTCATTAAAGTATTTCTCAACAACTTAGAGAAAATATTCCTGTGGAAGTGCTCGTTTTAACCTCAAATACAATTCATAGGGAAGCAGTCTGTGGTGTGAAAATGTTTTTGCTGCCACAGGACAGCCAGAACAATATTGGACATGGATTGTTTGTTAGTGTTTATTAGCCTATCCATTTAACTCATTAGCAAGATTATGTAGTTGGTCCTCAGCCCGCAAGATTTTTTTGATGGGAAATCAAACAGCATCATTTAGAACATAAAATGGCATTTACCAAATGATCTTGCAACACAGCTCCCTCCCCAAGTAAACGTTATCACTCTTGCCACTGTATCTGAGCAGCCCTGCTTCCAAGTCAAGTCTGCTATCTGCTGCTCTTCCCAGACAGTCAGATACCTCACCACACAGTTTCCAAACCCAGTCACAGATTAGGAATCACTAAAGGATGGAGTTCAGTGCAAGTACAGGCTTGCCCAATTCATCTGTTGCTCCTAAAAACTGCTTCCCCTTTTTTCTCCTTGCAATTCCTTTTCTAGCACACTCCGTAGTTTGGAAAATGACAATTTTAAATACATACAAAACTCCCTTTCTCCTAAAATGAGACAGTGAATACAGAATAAAAAAGTTTTGTCGGTGTTATCATTAGATACACAGCGTTATCAGCGCCTTCCTGCCAGATAAGGGAAACCCATTCTCTGCTGGATTGCAGAGCAATTCAAGACGCTCCTTTCCTTAACAGCTGCATTGGTATCTCCTTCCGACCCAAGAAAAAAATCCAACAACAATGAGCAATCTGAAACCACAGTGAGAAGTACTGAAAAATTCACCTTTGATGAGGGTACTGCTGTGGAGCCTGAAGGTGATGCATCTCTTGATGTTTTCAGTGACTGAACTGATGTCCTCTCTTTACCTACAATGAAGAAAAAAATAAGGACTGTAAAACTATAATAAAGATATATGCTGCAAATATACTTACAGACTTAGAAATATTGCAGTGAAATTCATGCAAGTCAGACATGAAATCTATATGCTCCACCATGTGATAAATACTGATAACACTTTCTTCTCTTTACAAAAAGAGAAGAGATATAGCTCTATTATCCCACATATTTAGGAAAACCCATTGTTCTTGTTTTCAACACTAACTGAAAGGGCGTATCAATACGATTTGGCAAGATGATGTGGTTTTACTTTTTAATATTCCTGTAATAATATAAACAGGTGAAACATTATACACCAGTCAATCACTCCAGGAAACCAGGCAGCAAAGGAACTGGTTCAGCAGGCCCACAGTATGCTGAAAAGCCCTGCCATGGGAAACAGTCCTGTTTTGGATCAACCACAGGCTAGATGCTCCTTGTATTACCAGTGTTTTTCTTGTAAGACTTAAAATGGGCAAAATGACAATTCAGATTCCCTGTGCTAATCACAGGTGCTAATGGCAGTCCGTGCACAGCCTTTCCACAGAGCGGTTACGGGCCGCCCGCAGCCGCAGAACTGGTTGCTGTGTGAACTACTAGCTTCCAACCTGTGGTCGTCTATGGATTACATCTAAGGGATCTGCAAAAGGTAAATACGAAAAGCAAATACGTGTTGTCAGTACGTCTCAATTAACTAGACTATCCCTACTCACTGGGAAATGCTTGACTGTCACAAATGGAAAATAATAAAGACTCACCTGGGTTTCTATCAGATTTGTATCAATACAATTAAGAAATGGATGAATTAAAAAGTCTACCAAATACTTATGAAAATTGGGATATAAATTATTTTAGTAGAACCATAAACAAATGTGGCTTTAATTTAATGAGGCAAAGCAATAAAGAGCAAACATGGCATCTCACTCCTAATAGCTGAGCTATTTTCTTTTTTTACTCAGTGCTGCATCATGTTGTGTATTTTAAAATACCACCACCTACACACAAAAAAATGTACAGAAAAGTCTATGCAAAATGCATACTTTTAACAATAGGAAATATTTAAGAGGTATTTGAAAAGTTGGTCTTTTACTCTTTTCCCCACATTTTCATACCATCTGTAAACTGCAGATTTAATACAAAGCAAAGGTCAAACACCTGCTCATCTCTGTCCACTGTTAGAGGCAAGTGAGCTCCTGCTATGATGCTGAAGAACCACTAATCCATGCAAAAGTCTTCACAGTTACTGATGTGTCTTTCTAAAATGCTACTGAAAATACTCAGGGAAGTTACTCTTGCAAATGCAAACATTCCAAATTGCACTTTAACTCTTGATTTGAAGAGGATACCTAAATAAGGCTGCTTGCTATGTTTTTAAGAATTTCTAGTAGCCATAAAACAAGAAATTAATTACAATTACCTTTAACTAAAAAAAGCTCTTTAACTATGAAAAGAAATAGCAAAAAAGAAAAGCTGGGAAAAAAATTAAAGTTCTGATAAATACAAAGTACATGACAAAACCAAAAACATGAAGATAGAAACAATCACATCTTTAATCTGACGTATTCCCCAAAGCACAGAATCTCTCTGTTGACACCACCAAGTAACACAGACAATTGCTCCTCTGATACCTGCTTTTCAGCCCCATGGATGAGCTACTTTGTTTAAGATTTACAGACTACTCTTAACTCTGCCTCCTACCTGCGCTTCCTTCATCACACTGGATTCTTTTAAGATTATCTCAGTTGAGTGGATTACATGTAGCTGCTTGAATAGATGAAATAAACCGATACAAGTGGCAGTAAATTATTCAAAGTTAAGCAGAGAGAGAGAAACTACCATTTAATTTGGAGGTATTATTAGGGAGCAATTTCTTCTGAATGCGTGTGGCTACTGTGAACCCACAATCTCTACCTAAACAATTTCCAAGCACCACCACTTGCCTTCCTGCACCCCCCTCAGTGGTGCCACCCTACAGACCCCTTACTGACGGGCCTGGTGAGGGAACACCACTTTGCTTCTCTCCATGCTCTCCCACAACGGCTGAACGCCTGTCCCTTCCCATGAGCCCTTCTCCTCCCTTCACCAAGCTTCTTTATGTCTCCCCCAATTTCCTTTGTTCAAACCCTGTGCTCACCCCAATTTATACAGGGATGGAGAGCACGGGATATTCCTCCTTCAGTGGAAGTCATCAGGACAAACTGATTCACACAGCATGATTTTAAACAGTATTATGATAGTTAAAAAGAAATCATATTACAAGCTCCTTATGAAATAGTATATACTTCGCATGTTGTAAATCCATTTAAGTACAGACTAAAATGTACTGCTGACATATGAGCTATTTCTCACTTTATGTTCCTTTTAAATATGTAATACATGACTTACCTAAGACAAATCATATTCAAACACGATTTAAAAAGTATTACTTAAGCCATTTATACCTTGTGAATAGGCCATTTTAATTCAGTCATCTAGACGAACAGTTTAGTAGTACTATTTTCCAGGGAACAGGCAGTTATAAAGAAATAGTGCAGTGTATAAGCCATCTGGTCTCTTTAAAACTGATTTCAAAATGATGGGGAGAAATGTTTAATCGTGATTGGAAAAAAATCCCAAAAGCCACAGATGTAAATGTAACCTCCTCTCTTGATCAGCATCTTTTCTGGTTCTGCTTCTACTTTGCTATCACCACTACTGTTTCAATAATTCTGCCAGTACACTACAAATGTGATAAAAGTTGGCTCAAAATTTTAGGAGAACCCTGAAACATTCCCAAATTTTATACTGTTTCTCACAACAATTTTTTTCCTGTTCCTGATAATTATAATCTGCACATCTACAACACTTCTACAAATTTAGTTGAGTATCGTATTTTTCTCTTCCTCTCCTACTCTTACAGGAATTCACAGTCCCTAAGTATTGCTACAAAATATTAAAAGAACTGCAATTATGAGCTAGAAAGATAATTTGTATTCTGCAAGGAGTGGAATGATTCCTCAATATTTAAATTATGTTAACTGAGCTCCATAAGATCTTTTTTGGCAGGAACCGCTACCTAATAGTGCAGCTTGCCACTCTGGAAACACACAATATACCTATCAGCAAATAAAAAAAAAAATCTAATTAATTTTTTAAAAGCTGCCAAAATGAACAGTAAGTTTGTATAATTCACTAGAAAGTATTTGCAGAAAGGGAAATCAAATCAGATTAATTTACATAAGCTGTACAAACGGCAGTGGCTAAAATTGTAACATACTAAAAAAAGCAATTTTGCCTTTTTTTTTTCCAAATTATTTAAATAGGAAATCCTTAAATATTTTCAAAACAGATGATTAATTAGATTTCTGGGAGTTTTTAAAAGGCAGAACATATGGAGTATAGACTCAACTGAGATATGTTTCACCTTTCTTTGAGGAAAATCAGATTTGAGAGAATCTGACTATGAGATGACATTGCTAAAAATCAACCAGCCTCAGAATCCTAATACTACAGTTCAAATAACATTTTCAGAAAATGTAAGAAGTAGCAATATGTAATTTCTCCAATTTTTTTAATCCCTCTTTTCTCTTGGTTGCAGGAAGAAAAGCCTTCACCTGCTACAGAAGGCAGAAAAGTTTCTTGTCAGGGAATCCAATGACGCATGTAAAGAAGTAACAGAAGCAGCTGATGCTAAAAGGGAAATAACATACGATACTAGAAAAAGCTGTGCAGCTCTAACTCTTACAGTCAGGCTGGAGCTGCTACTGAAATAACACCTACAATCTCCCACATGAAATACATAAGGGAACACAGAGAGTACAGCGAAACAACCAAAGAGCAGACAAAACATAATTGGTACAAAATGTCTAGTTTTCTCATTGCAAAAGACAGCATGTAAAGAAAACGGATTTATACAATGAGCTGCAGTTTCACCTCACCAACCAGTTCTCATCATTAATCCAGCATTACCTTGCTGAGAAGAAATATTTCTTTTATGTAAAGATGACATACTTCTGCTATGCTGGGACTGGTGGAAAGGATAGGCTTTGCTTCTTTCAGGAGAGTAGCTCCTGCTGCTGACACTAGAGCCAGATCTGCTGTGCGGAGAATCCCTTCGGCTCCCCGGCGATTCCCTGAAGAAAGGAGAGTCCCTCTTATGAGGGGATCGCTCCCGCATATAATGAGAAGGATAGAAGCTTTTTCTTCTGAAGCCATCTCTGACCTCCCTTGGAAGACAACAGAAAAATACAAGTTACTTGGTTATCTTTCCAGTGTTTGTGGAAAAGCACTAGATAATACAATGGCAACATTTTATGTCTGGTAAATACAAATAGGTTAGCTGTCATCTGCAGAGCACATCTGAAATCTCCAGCATTGTTAGAGTACTAGGCAATGAATGCAAAACATGTAGGAAAACAGAAAAAATATATATGTATGTATTTTTTGTTTCAGATTTCATTCGACCACATGGCTAGAAGCTAATTCATTTCTACTTCTAAATAATACAGCTAAAATATAAGAGAGAGAGAGTGTCAAGAAACTGGGACTCTCACATTTTATTTCTTCAGACTCACTCCACTTCACCTAGAAATTAAGCTTTAATTTACAATAGCTAAAAATGCACAAGATGAATATTGCTTACACAATTTGGCTGTTTGTCAACTCTGTTTTTCTTACCCTTATTTTCAGGGGACTATGTCCCTCATTTGATTTCATACATCTGGCTATGGGAAACGTCTCTGAGGGATTTCCGTTTATACCCAGCAAGGACTAAAGAAGAAAACTGCAGAATATCTATTGTCATGCCTATGCATCCACCCAAGGTCAAACTGAATGAAAATATGAAGATTTATGCCCACTAAAAAGCCTATGACTTTCATAATACAGAACATTCACTTTGAACTTTGCTGTAAAATGTCATAGACACACTCAGTATTACATGGAACCCAACTGATTTGAAACCATAAGCTAGTGAACACCAAAACTTTCTACTAAATTTATCTATTGTTACGTCAGAACATACCCCAAACGTCCCGGTTACCTGCAAATTATATTAGTATGTATGTATACGTAAAGGTCAAAAAAGCAGTGTTAAATTGGGCTTTTCCTAAAGAACCTCAGCTAACAAACATGCAAGTGAAGACCTACTGAATCTAGACTTGTGACATCTGGTCAGAAGACACACTGCTAGGAGAAGCAAGTACTTCTCAGCTCCTCCACAGCATTGTTAAGTAAAATAAAGACTTCACAGCATTTATAGTAAGCCAGAACGTTCCCTGCTTCACTGGTTTTTCTCTCCTGTTTCCAATATTTTTGGAAATAAATAAGGCAACATCTCACAAAGACAAGCAAAGATCCGGTGGTCTCATTTAGCACAAGTAGCTGCAGCTAATTTTATGTTGGTGGATAAAAGAAAAAAGCCCTCTAGTGTACAATTCCTATAGCATGTTACAGACCCACATTTGTGACGGGTGACAAAGGACTTCAGTGTGCAAAAAAGTATTTTGGACTACTGAAACAACACGGGTAGCACCACAGTAACACAAACCCTATTACACTGATGTGTTTTATACAGTGCTGATTTACTTTTTGCACAGAAAGCAAATCTGCATGACTCTTTCTGCTTCACAGCACAAACGTCCCACAAGCAACATTGAGGTTTACCTCCAACAGGAAAAAAAAAAAAATATCATTGGCGCGTGTGCATTGCCACTAAAAATATAGACAACGCTTCATCTAATTTCTCCAGTTCCAGATGGAATAAAGTATCGGGAAAATAAACCAAATCTTTATTTTGAAAATTTTCATACAAAACTAAAGTATGAATCAATAACTCTCAGCCACCCTGGTTTTCAGCAAGATGCCACTGAACCAAAGCCAGGTTTACAGTTAAATAATTTCACTGTTAACAGACCACAGGCCTCTCATAGGTATCTTATCTCACAGAAAAGCATATTTTATTTGCATACCAAAACTGATACAAGACAATGTTACACAGATTTCTAACAGGTGTGCTAAAAATCAATATTAATTTCCTCTCTTAACAAATTTTCTTCATCTTCTGTTTATTGCGACACTTTCTTCTCCCCAAGGGAGCCAGTAAAAAAAAAAAACAATTAAGGAATTGTTAAGTAGTATGCTATTTAATAGCCTCCATACAGTAGCCATTGTATAGACACTCACATCAAAGAATGAATCAGCCCAGAATACACACAAGGATAATCCTCCTGCTTTCTTCAAAGGCCTAAGAGCAATATGCTCACTCCTTAGGAAATGTATAGATTAACAGAAAACTTTCCAGAAGGAGATAACTGAAATTATCAGAGATTGAGAAAACACATTTAATGAAGAAAAGCTCAAACCTCTTTGTCCACTTAGATTTAGCAAAATGAAATCTTAAGAAGCCAGGCGAGTTCTCAAACCTAGGAGATGTAGCTGAAAATAGGGAACTAATGCTTTATCTACATTACGTGTAGCAATAGACTTAAAGCAAAAATTCAGACCTTAAGAATACTAGAAAGATTAGCTCAACACTGAACTAGTTTGTCTAGTTCAATGGAGGGGGGGTAAATTTATTAAAGAACATATTGATCACATATTCATCAGGAACGAGATAGGTACAGCACACTTTTTCTTCAGTTTCCTTCTAGTCTCTCTCCTTAAATAATCTTATTTATCTTTAAAGCACAAGCTTTCTGGCAGACTAGTACCCCACTTGTATGCCCAAAGCACGTTTTTATAAGCAAGTTATTAAACCCTAGTATACAGAGAAGTTTATTATGGAAATGTTTACAGAGCCCCAGCTACTGCACAGGTATAATAAGTGGTCTAATATGCACACAAGAATTTACAAAATATCACTGAAACACACTTTCAAACAGGAAAACATTTTAAACCCTCATTCTACAATAATATTAGGCACCCAAAAAAAGTAGAATCTCACTTTCATTTTTCAAATTATCATTTCATCACTCTTAATTCTGAACTGACCCTATCCCATACTGAACACTCAACTATATTCAGTCTGTTTTGGACAGCATAGCAACAGCACAGCATTTCTGACGTTTTCCATTAATGTAACAAACTACACTGAACAGAACAAAATAAGCATTGTTTTACCTTTTTTTTCCTTCCTTAAATACTTAAGCTAACATACACCTGCAATTTGGTAATGAAGGCCCCAATTCAGCACAGCAGTTAAGCACATGCTTCAGATTCCAACACATACTCAAAAGGTTTATTGAGCAGGGACAATATTTAATAGAGATGCAAAATTTTGTGCTCAGCTGTAACTTCAAAATAAAACTACTGCCCTGAATAACAAATACAGGATTAATCCCTTTTATTTAGGCTTCCTCTTATCTTTATACTTTGCAGTCACATCTCAGGCTTAGTCGTGAAAGCACAGGTTAGTCTTCTCAGCAGGATCGAGCAAATACAGGAAGTATTTGCATTTTTAACCTCCACAAAACTTCACCATTAAATTCTCACTGAAGCTGATAATCTTGGATGAGCTCCTGAAGATTTATAAGTACACAGCCATACCCTGATCCGCCAAGGGCAGATGAGGGAGGAGCACGAGCCTGAGAGTTATTTCAGTTAACCATCAGTTCCAGTCTCCTGGAGGAAAAAGGAGAAATAGTGAATAGGCAAAGGCACAGCTTTCTGTAAAGCAGGAGACCAAGGGAATACAACACTGGAGAGGTTTTCTGTTGCCAAAGGATCAGAGACACCATCTTTCCTAAGCTGCCACCACCACACCGAGTTCTTCTGGTCTCATCCCTCCCTGCCATTTGAAGCCCAGCAAACCATTCAGCAGCAACGCTGTGGGAAAAGGGTCAAGTTTACAAAAGGGAGTGGTACAGCTTAAGCTCCGTCAAACAGACTAACACAAACCCGTGTGTCAGTTTTATAATTTAAGAGTACATACAGGCAAACTTCAAACACAAGTGAAATGCCTGGAATGGAGGTTCCCTTGGGTATGTGAAAGCACATCACATGCAATACAAGTTTTGTTTTTAAGAGGAATCTTAGTTCGCTGTCATTGAATTCATGCTACTGGGTAACTGCAGACACTTCATGCTTACTATGCTCTTGGACTTCTACATCCCAATACAGACATCCATCTTCTCAACTAAAACACTACTCTACAATGCAGTCCAGCCCTAGAGGACACATCTCACACTTCCAACACTGCACTGAAGAGACTGGCAACTCCACAGCATATCCCTGGGGAGCAAGAACTGTAGGTTCTTTCAGCAAGTCAGGGGTGAGTGCAGTCTCCACCTAGATAAAAAGTCTGCAGAGAAGTTTATATGACCCCTTCCATCTGAGAAAGATAATTGTTACTGTCAAAGGGGCTAGATATCCTATTTATAGGATTGAGCTTGATTACCAAACTTGCCTAAAAGTAACCCACACAATTTTTAAAATAAATTGAGGAAATCAGACAGCAAGGTTCAGTGCAAAAGACAAAGTAGACAAGATTTGAACCACACTTTTTAACTCAATGCACTTTCCGTGTCTCATAATACACAGGCAAGGGGAAGGGGGAGGAAGAGTTAAACAAAAAATATGAAAACCCTCTTGCCTTCCTTGTCAGGACACTGCAGGGGCCAATAGAGCTACCAATGTGATTCAGATGATGTGGAAACATTTAATAAAATATACTACACCCCTGACCTCTAAGTTTCTCAGAAGATTTACTGTATTAAACATTCAAAAAGCAAACACAAAGAGTCAAAAACATCTCTACTTTTAACATCCTCAAAGTAAATGCAGGTGCTGGAAGATTCCAGCCACCATCCTCTCTCCCAGAACTCATTGCCTCTCTTTCCAAAGCACGCAGGACATATTTGTGCAACAAACCAACAATCTACTTGAGTTCTGCTTTAGAGCCTTACTATAATCTCTTCTAATTGTCCAAGGATCTTTATGCTGATTTATCATAAGCTAAAACTATACAGTGAATTACACCATTGCAGATAGAAGTAATCGCAACGGGTTCCGTCAGTGTTCAATTGAACACTTGAAATTATGACAGATTTCTTATGACAACTGGTTTTCAGCATTTTATGACTAAGCAAGTAACTGCAGTACTCGTAAGTGATATTTGCATTTGCTTTAGATGAAATTAACATAATTAGGTCTAATCAGTGTAATCTTATTAACAGCTTTTTGCATGAAGGCAAAAAGAAATAGGCATTGTGAAACAGTGGTAAATTTC